TATTCTAAAACATACTTTTAACTTTAAAAGCTTTTTTTAAAGCCATTTTGACGTAGAGACTCAAGTTACAAAATGGTCAATGGTGAAAAAGTGATTTTAGAACGAAGTTATTTTAGCTTCCCATGATCACATAAAATTTAGCACCCTGTTGAAAAGAGTAGATTCTGAAATGACGCCAAGACCTGCGTCTAAAAGCTCTCAGTAACCACGAAACAAACAGGCGACACATCCTTGAGCGACAAAATTTTCTCACAGCAAGTGTGACAAATGTTGCTGCGATTCTAAATCTAAAGTTTGTTGCAGATAGCCAAATTAAATTATTCTTGAATTGTTCTTGACTTCGCATCTCCGGATTGAAACCGTGCAGACACAGCCATTGCATATTCTTAAATACACTTACACAACTCAATACTGAACTTTTTCCTTACTGTCATAAAATATGAACAACGTTCTCTTTATAGAAAAAACGAAACAGAACAACGTTTCCTTTCTTCTGTTTCTTTTTCTTTTTTTGGTTCTTCCATAGGAGCGAACGATCACACGAAAGCGTATCTTGCAAGAATATCCACAAGAACGTCGATCAGTGTATATTGCAGATTTATGGCGTATGGCATATTTATTGGCGCCACAAGCAATTATTCGTGAGAGGGAGCCACAACAAGGGCCAAAAACAGTCATTTGCCACGCACAAGAATTCTCATTCCAGATAAATGATAGAGAGCGGAGGTGGTCTTGATTTGCAGTAAATACCGATGGCTAGCAGTTGACAGAGCCTGATTTTTGAATTTTTCATTTACTGATGTCTGGTTCTTAGGAGAACTTTAAATTTCGAAAAATCCTTGAAAGGTTTCTCAAAGATCCTTCTTTCTATAAAAAATAGAAGCATAATCCAGAAATCGGACTCTACCAACTTTTAGCTATAGGTGTTGTCTACAAATCAAAAAAAGAATTTTCTTTCTCCGGTGTATCGTCACCGGGAATTCTTGTGCGTGGCGACAGCCCTGAAGCTAATAAGCAGTCTTAAGAAAAACGCAAAATAAGTTTTGATTCTGTTAAATGCCTTTTACTTAAAAACGGTTTGAGTCTTAAATAATTTGTTGATATTTCACTAGAGGTTATCGGGCATGGCGTATCTAATGAACATGTGTGCAGCCATGTGCGGCACATGCGTGCACTTATGCACTACAGGTGCAAAAAGGCCAATTTTTTTGCTTTAGGGCTTTTGGAAAACTCGCTCAAAACCTATCTTATCGACACAAAAATTATGCCATTGGAAAATAGACACGTTGGGCTATCCATTCATGTGCGTTTCTCAAAATCGATGTTTTTGACGAAAATTGGCATTTCTGACCCGGGGGAGCCTTTTAAGGCTCAGCCTTGACCATACTATTAATCAGAGATCTATCCTTAAAAGCGAATAAGCGATCAAAAATCAAAAATACTTAATTTATCTATGGTAGAAATAAATACTCACGGAAATGTGGGACAGCCTCAATGGAAAAAGTGTGTCAGAAGCGGTTTCCAATGTCGGGTATGTGATGCCGCTGGCATCAGGTCACTGATCAGTTATCTCTCTTTTATCAGAGTGTAGCTGTACAAAGCGACAAAATATGCGGAAAGCGACTGTCAGTGTGGCAAAAGATTAGGTCGCAATTTGCGACACATGCGACTGATTGTTTCTTAGTTTGTGTCATGTTATTCTGTGTCATCACCACCATAGCGCTTATTCTGTTAGGCTTGGAAGTGACAAGTTATTTTGTGTATTACAATCATTTTCTGCAACCTTCGCGCTGAGAAATGTATAGGTTTTATGAAGACACGAAGCAAAGAGAAGAATACTAGAAAAAGGTACATTCTGCGCGAACAACCTACTGGATGTTGCGATTGACGCCTGTTTCATTGTCGACGATGTGTGCGTTGCTGAAATATTAAAAACAACGTTTTCATATGTATGAGACAGGGCTACTCCTCAGGATGATTTGTCGGTGACAATTCGACGGAAAAGGGATACAAATTTCGTAAGCGTCAGAGGTTTGCAGAAAAATGACAACAAAACAAAAAATTAATTGACCCAAGTCTCTTTAAGAATGAGTAATGACTGTGTCTGCACAGTGTCAATTAATGGGTGAGAAGTATCTGCTTCAAGAACGAAGTTTAGAGATGTTCTACGGGATTTCTTCGTTGTGAAACAAACGTACACAGAAAGCAACTTACTGAATGGTGTGACTGAGGTTGGTTTCATTGTGGACGATTTCTGCGTTGCTGAAATATTAAAAACAAGGTTTTCATGTGTATGAGACGGGGCCACCGCTCGAGAAGATTTTTGAATGACAATTCGCCGGAATTTCCCTATAGTATCTGAAGAAGGTATGTGATGCTAAGAATGTCACTGGCATGAGGTCACTGATTAGTTGTTGCTCTTTTATCAGAGATTTTAGCTGATTAGTCAACTTAACATTCACTAACGTGAATCATGAAATTTTTTATAACCTGTAAGTGTTGATGAACTCATTTGTAATGGATTGGTCTGTGAAGTAGTAGAAATAGTCATCGGTGGACCGCCTAATAAATAAAAGAAGTTAGAATGTTTTTCCGCATTTATTTGGCTGCTTGGGTTCCAATATGGATGAGTGAAAAGTTCTCATTAGTAGTTGTGAGTGAAACCAAACACCGGTTTTATAGTTTTCTCACAGATAATAAAGTATGATACCTCTTTGTTTAACTATACCTTAGGGCTGGCTGTTTACCATTACTATTACTAGTAACAAGTAACAATTTTGTTACTTGTTACTAGTAATTAGTAACAACATATGCTAAATTGTTACTTTGTCACTCTTGGTAAAGTAACAAAGTAGGGTTTTGTGAGAGTGAGAGTGAAATACCTGCGAAAAGATTCTGGAACGTCTGATAAAGAAGTATCCGAAATATACTTCTTTATCAGACATTCCAAAATCTTTTCGCAGGTATTTCACTTTCACTCTCACAAAAACCTTTTCAAAAATGTTTTTTGAGAAAACAAAAAAAGAACTTGTTCTTTCTTACTTTACAAAGATTAACAAAGTAACAAATTTGCATCTGTTGTTACTTTACTGGTAAAGTAACACTGAGTAACAAGTAAATTTAGTTAGTTAGTTAATAATACCAATACCCAAAGGGTGTATGGTGAAGATCAGAAAATATGGTTATGATAAAAACAAAAAACAGAAACTTTTAGGTGTACCAAGACGGTACAAAACAAGTAAAGAACATCCCTACTATACCCCCATATGAAAATGAGATAAATGTTAACGAAAACGTAATTGTAAGTCCATTTGGAAGCGTCAATGTGATGCTTATTTGAGTAACGGTAAGGCAGGCGTGTTGAATATTTTGATTAAATTGATCTCTACAACTACGAGCAGTACATGCGGGAGGATAATTTCCTACACAATTCATTTTAAATTCGTTTGAATATGTGTGTCTCTTTGCAAATAACCTAAACAATGTTAAATTTTGTATATCCTCTTAGACACGGTCATATATACTTACGAACGTTTTTCACGGTCACTTCCGACACTCGTAATACTTTTCAAAGTGATTGTACCCGCTGATAATCCCAATTGTTTCTCTAACTACAACAGACAAATAAATGCTGCTCATGTGTATATGCAGGCTACAATATAGAATATGTCAATGACGTGATAAGGATGTCTAAAATTCATCAATGACTTGAAAGTACAATAACGTATCTTGCACTACATATTTTCGACAGAGGTCAGTCAGCTATAAAGCAGTACATATCTACGCTTCCGTCTTGCTGTCTCGCCTTCACACTAAAAAATGATGTGTCGTATGTGCGGCATAATCATCTGCGACATGGGGAGCTCCTTCCGACACATTCTTTTCATCGAGACTGCCACGCATTCCGTCAGTATTTCTACTATAGAGAGCAAACAGTGGAAATAAAGTATTTTTGATCGCTTATTTGCTTTTGAGAATAATTTTATCTCGTTTTTGGTGTACTACGTAATTTTCACGAGATCAATTCGCCCGCGATATTCATAAGCCTTCAAAATATTTCGTTTCCGAGATCTGGGATTAATAGCATAGTCAAGAACCAATTGGTTCTTTTTCGTCAGAGAAGAAATGTTTGACGTAGAAAAAGGTTACAGTTGCTTTCCGTGCCTAACAGAATAACCGGCTGTGAACGTACTTTGTTGCCGATAGCCAAATAAAATTATTGTTAAAACAGATACTTCTCCTCCCCTGATTGACACTATGTACGACATAATCATCTATGATACGGAGAACCGCTTCCGCCACATTTTTTCCACTGAGGCTGCCACACATTCCCGTGAGTATTTCTACCATAGAGAAAATAAGTATTTTTGATTTTTGATCACTTATTCGTTTTTAAGAATAATTTTAGCTCGTTTTCGGGTGTACTACAAGTTGTGACTAGGTCAAGTCACCCACAATATTCACAGGCCTTCAAAATGTTTAGTTTCCGAGATCTGGGATTAATAGCATAGTCAAGGCCTGGGATCGGTTCTTTTTTGTCAGGAAGAAACGATTAACGTTGAAAAATGTTAAAAAAGACTTAAAAAGGGATCTTTAGCTACAAATAACATTAATTCGAACCTGATAGAATTTAAAAAGCCCGACATGTTTTAGGTATTAGTGCCACCTATAGCTCATCAAAATCGAAGAGAATCCGAGAAAATTTCGAATAAAGACTGTTGAGGATGGTAAAACAGGGACTTTAGAAACCTTTTCAAAAGAGTAGATCCTGAAATGATGTCAAGAACTGTGTCCAAACGTTCTCAGTAGCGGCGAAACAAACATGCGACACATTATTTAATACTCGAATCTATGAGCTGATCTACTTTCAACGCTAAAAGCCCTAATACCAGGTAAACGTGATAGACTGAGCTGCAGTCCTTTTCTAACAGATATTTCGGATTAAATAAATTGCACCTATAGTGCCAATACAGCGGTGTCTTCTCACCATTTTCCTTCAACTATACAGAATCTGTCTTTCCGCTCATTACCTGTCTTGTAACATTTTTATTGTTTGAAGCTGGAAGTTCACCGGTAAATAGTGTATCGGCGGTTGCTTGTGCACTGTAGACAATAACAGTGGAAGAAGTTTCTAAATCATGTTAAATAACATTGCGTTGAGTTTTCGTTATTTATGCTTAAAACAAACAGTTACCTCGTGTACTTGAACCAGTACTACCACCATGTTTATTTAAATAGATTGGTATTAGAGCCAAAACAATTGTACTAGCAGTTAATAAACCGATTAAGCCGACGCAGCATAAGCTCGCGATCATAAAATACCATCTCTTGTTACGATTACTAAACGGTAAAACAAGAACATCATGGCAACACAACGTTGAATAACAGTAACACTGGCAGCGACTTGATAGATTTCAGAGACTGCTATGAGCTTCTACTTAAACCAGTCCACTCACAAACCACTTTAAGAAACGAGAATTGTTCAGCGCAAGATACCAACTCCAGACACATCATTTCGTCGGATGCTCATCAAACAAAAGCTCGTACCCATTCCGCTCAACTGCAGCATTTGAACCAGATGTGAGCTGCATATTTGTTCCACCCCAAGCCATTATTCTCGCTTTTACTGGTTAGTGTATTACCTCCAAATGGAAACCTACTAAAGAGCACATCACGAAATTCAAATAGATCAAATAATCTCTCACATTACACACTTAATTACCTTTAAGGAAAAGCGCAATCAACAGCTGTGCTCGACCAACCTTATGAAAAACAAACTAAATAGAACTCCGAAAAGCATGTGATATTTAAATAATGGAACTGTTCACCCAACCAAAGCTCGATTTCTTTTACTCCCTTTTCTTTCAAAGCGACTGCGTCGTAATAATGTAATACTCTGACCACACGCGTATATGATACCTTGATTTTCTTTTCAAATAACAAACAAAGCAACAACCTTGATCGCACCGGCAGCTCCTTTCAAACTTAATCTCCTCAAAATATTTTAAAAACCACTCAGCTGTCCGCAAAAAAATATATAAATATATACATACACTAAAACGTCAACGCAGATAGACATAGTCGTTAATAAAAATATTAGGCGAAAATATAGAAATCTCGTGCTAACTTCCGCTGCGTCCCATTTTCAGTCATTTTTACAGGATTTCCGGATTTCATCGATTTCCAGGCTTCTCTAAGTCTGGGATTTCACAGGTGCTTGGAATTCTGCTATTTTCCCCTCGAAATGTCCTCAAAAACAAACCTTGTAATAAAAATTTTGTGTTTGCTGATCCTATCGCCATCTTTCTCAATGGTCGTTTGGTTTTTATTCTGGATCATCGCGTGGAAGAAACCCGACGCAGTATCCTATTTTCTTTAACATGATACC